TTAAGCTTTATTATAATTACCAACATATGTGGACTATAATCTTTATTGGCCCATTTATAATTCTAAGTTTCAAACTTGAAATAATATATTAAAAGATAAAAACTATGGACAAGTATAAGAAATATTTAAAAATTATATCAAAGTAAATATTTTTATGTATAAAATAAAATTTTAAAATTATATATATAAATTCGGGTTGGTTTGGTCTCGGGTTGGTTTTTTTTAGTTAAAACCAAACCAACCCAAATATAGTCGGGTTTTTTTTTCAAAACCAAACCACTAGTCGGGTTTTTTTTTCGGGTTGACTCGGTTTGCGGTTTGGTTCGGTTCTCGGTTCGGTTTTGTACACCCCTAGAAATAGGGTTGAGTCATGACTCATCCAAGTTTACTTTGGGCTAAAGTAGATTGGGCTCAAATGGGCTTGGGTTATGACCCGCTTAATTTCAATAATTTTAACATATTGTTATTTAACTTTTATAATCACAATTTGAATTTTAACTCAAGAAAATTAAGAAAGAAGAAGTTACAAATGGATAAATAAATCTTAGAATATATAAAATAGACAGTAGTAGTTCATATCTTCAATTAGGAACATGCATTACATCAAGTAAAAATTAGGCAAATGACATAGTATAAAAAAAAAATTACTTCTTTTCCCTACTCTTTCATTAATTACCAAAAAATCCCTTTTTTTAGTGTTTTTCGGTATACATAATATAGCAGTGTGGATACTTAATATAGCAGCACAGATACTTTAATTAATAACGGGCGGATACTTAAATTAACGGGCGGATGCATAATATAGCAGCGCGGATACTTTAATTAATAATGGGCGGATACTTAAACTAATAAAGTATCCGGTTAAGTTGATTTGGGGGAAAATAAGGGATTTTCGTATTTTAGTAAAAGAGTAGGGAAATATTGAGAATAGGTAAAGAAGTGTTGTGTATTTAAGTAATTTTTCCTTACATCAATACAAATAAAGAGTTTTAAAACGAGTTGAAATTGGGCTCAATATATTGAAGATAAAGGGTCAAAATTGTCCTTACACTATGTGAAATGAACAAAAATGTTCTCTGTTTATAGTTTGGCCCAAAAATGTCCCTGCTGTCAATACTTTGGTTCAAAAATATCGTTGCAGTCAATACTTGGATCCAAAAATACCCTACAGTTACTAAATGAGTCAATAATGCCCTTTTTGAATAAATATATTATTTCTTTTCTTTTTAAACACATATTTTTTCTAATAAATGTCTTAAAAAGAAAAAATAAATAATACATTTATTTGGAAAATGAGCATTTTTGACCCATTAAGTAACAATAAGGGCATTTTTGGATCAAAGTATTGACGACAAAAATATTTTTGGACCAAAACTTAAACGGATGGCATTTTTGTTCATTTCACATAGTTTAAAAACATTTTTGACATTTTTCCCTTATTTTAAAATGGGTTAATGCTTGAATGAGTTGAGGTTGAACCCGAATCATACTCTCTTGAGCTCAACCCATAAAATTCTAGACAGATTAAGCGGATTACCTATATTTGAACTCATTTTGACACGCCTACAAGATCCACAAATACATTGATCTGTTAGTGTTGACATGCTTATAGCTAATAAATTATTCTGTGTGGATTATTTGCTTTTAAACTTTTGTTTAAAGTGAATTAATTAATTTAGATTTAATTAGGATTAGTTCACTAATTGGGGTTTGATTCATTGGTGAAATGACAAAAAAGAAGTTCTAGCTTAAGTTTTCATTTGTAATTGCTAGATTAATGAAATAAGTGCTCTAACATTAAGCTCTAAGCCAGAGCATGCATAATTTATCGTCTTAACTAAGATCAAAATTTTGCGTCTTAGATAAAAATAATTAATAAAACGATAAAGTTGCATTTACGCATCTAGATCCAAATTCTCTTTAAAAGTGTTAATATTTGATTCAACAAACGAGTATCAATCTTCAGGTGTGATACATAAGGATAGGTCGTGTTTATGCATCTTGATAAGTGTATATCGTAGTTGAAATCGCAACTTTGTTTCTTAGTTAAGACCAACAAAATACAACAATTGAAGTGAATCATAGCCAAATGATTTATCCAATATTTATTTAAGTCAAGTATAATTTTGACAAAGGTGATCGTGTCAGAACCAAGAGATTCATGGGACGTCCTCATACCATCTCTGATCAACAATATTTCTTACACGATCTTTTGTTTTCATAGACCAACAAAAAGAATCATTTCCTTTTAATCAGGAGTTCAAAAAGGTGACGTAAAACACCATAACTCAAGCGGAGTCACTATAATTCAAAAATGAAATGGCACTTTCTATTGCTCTATGAAAATAAAAGACAAGGTAAGAAATTTTGTTGACTTGGAGAAGGTTAGAGGCACCCCTGAGTCCTTTAATTCTAGCACAGTCGTTTTTGTCAATTTATACTTGACTAAATCAATCTTGGATAAATTATTTGTCTATGGGTCACTTCTATTGTTGAATTTTATTAGTGCTAACTAAGATGCAAAGTTACAACCTCAGATTCAATATAAGCTTATCAAGATGCATATATGTGACATCTCCTTGTGTATCGCACCTAAAGGTTGAGTCAACCCTTTCGTTGAATCAAAAAATATATATTCTTAAGAGGATAATATGGTTCAACACGCATAAACACGACCTTGCCATTTTAAATTGCTAACCTCAATTAAAACGACAAACTATGCGTGCTCTCGCTTAGAGTATAAACTTAGAGCATTTTTCACTAATATAAAACAAGTTGAAATGAAAAGTTAAGCCCAAACTCTTTTTTTCATGTCAACAATGATCAAAACCTAATTTGTTAGAATAAGTCATCAAATATTTTAGTGAGCTAATCTTAATTATACCCAAAAAAATTAGTCCACTCTAAACTTAAAAGCAAGTAATTGAACACATGATAAATTATTAGATAAAAAGAAGAAGCATGCCAACACCAAAAGATTTATGAATTAAGAGCATCAAATTGGCCAAGACATAACCACCAAAGAACAATATACAACAAAATTACGAGAATTAAGGAAGAAGAAACAAACCTCTCTAATCTTAGTGATTTTTGGACAACGTTGTTGATCGGAGTCCGATTGTAAATTTTTCTTCGATCGGAATACTCTGGAAGAAATTCAAGTAGTGATTTTGTGAGTATATGTAATGAATTGTGTGAAGGTTGTGTGCTAGTGTGAGTAAGGAAGAAGAGAAAAAATGTGAGTTGTTATGTGTAGGTGAGAGTGATTATGTGGGTGAATTGTTGGTGTAATTGTGCGTGTACGACAAGTGGAAAATGGGTGAGTGAGTATAAGGGTACGGGCTTGCACTCAATAGTCAATCAATTCATTTTTCCGCTTTCTATCGCACGCTTCAACTATTTGTTTATATAGTGTGTGAAGTCTAACTAATGGAAAGTGCCTATGAATGAGTTCCAAGAAACCATTCTTTGCTTTCCCAGCACTGACCTCTCTGGTCGAATGTTAGAGTCGGCTCTACTTCAACTAGTAGTCTTTAAGTCGGAAATTGCTTTCACATCTCATATGACATCTGTACCAACAGACTTCTTTGAACACCAGTAAGGTAAGTAGCTACTCCAGCCGATCTAACTCCAGAGGATCCAGCTTATTTGTTGGATGTTTTTGCTTTTTTTGCTAAAAACTTTTTAAAAAGTCTTCAAAGAGCCTTTGTGTCATGTGCTTTCTTCCTTAGCGAGCAAGAAAAATGAGTAATGATGAGTTTGTTAGAGGAATCTTGGGGTAGGTGGCATATTAGGATTGGTTCTTAAAAAAATAAAACAAATATAAAAATAAAAATAAGATTAGATCTAAAAATATATATTTAATGTTAAAATATGAATTGAAACTCGAAAGGGTCTAAAAATCTGTATTGCATACTTGTAAAATCTAACTTAATTGTGTACTTATTTACTAAGTCAATAAAAGAGAAAAGATCAGGATCATACCCCTTTTTGACATGAAGATTTCAGCTTGGTTCATACATCCTTGACAAGTATGAGCAGATGAAGCATAATCGTTCTAAAGCAACTCGATTCCAACCTCTAAAAACATTTAAAATTGGAAACCTTTTTTAGGATTAAAATGTCAATGGTGGTATTAATCTCCTTAGAGGATTCAACATGTTGATATTTAGATCTAAGAAAAGGAATTTAATTAATGCTAACCACAATACTTGAATGATGTTTGGAAATTGAAGATAAAATTGTGGTAATGAGGATGAAGAGGTTTGGTGAACAACCTAGATTCATTCAATTTTTCAGAATGGAACACATGAATGAAGAAGAACACCTTGTAAGCTATTGGAAGTTTACAGTTCCGATGCATCATTTCTCTATGTGATAACGACCTTGGAAACTTTCCTCCAACAATTGTTTTCTCTCGATTCCACCTAGAAACCCACTATATCCACCGGTATACACCTTTGCAGATAAGGAAACGAAGATTAGAAAGAAATGAAGAACAAAATCATATTAGAACAAAGGAAAACTATACTTACTTCTGTGAGTTGAGAAGAAAAGGAAGCTTCATCATCATAATAAGTATTGATTACCCACAACAAAAGGAAAAAGAAGCTCAGGTTATCAGAAGCTCCCAGCGGCGATATAGAGGGAGATGATCAGGAGCTCAAAATGGAAAACCCTACTTCTTAGTGCTGATATATAAAAGGAGGTGGATCCTTTGGACTGGGCCTATTTTTTGTTTTCTATTTTCGTTATTTTCTTTTCCTTTTGGGTTCACTTGGCCCATTTTGTACATAATTGAGATATAAATAATAGAGAAAATTACTTAATTACACGACTTAAGCTAACATAATATCTAAAGTCCCTATCATTTGAATTAATTACAAAAATTCCTTTTTTTCTTCTCTCTTAACATTCGGATATATCACTCCACCTCTATTAGATATATTACAACTTCGTTTGTTTACAATGTATTGATACAAATGTTATTGTTGATTATAACTGTCAATATGGGTTGACCTACTCCATCTGGGCCAATCCATACATGCTTTGAAATTTGACGGGTCAGACATGATTAGCCCATTTTTTGTGTGGGCCAGAAAATGGTTGGCCTAGTCCACAAGTACGTGGGCTACGGGCTTCTCTGGGCCAGCCATCTTTTCTTAAAAGTATATTTTTTAAATTAAATTATAATTTAAAAATATTATCATAAATATTGACAAGACAATATTACATAGTGTTAGTGTTACTATTTGTTAATCAAATACACAAATAAAATTATCTTAATAATATTTATTAAGTTTGATTTCAAGTAAAAACATAAATAGATAAATTGAATTATTAACCTAATTGTTTTTCAATGAACATAATAAAATACAAAAACTATGACAATATTCCATAGGCTATGACCTATGTAGTGATTCCCTAGAAATTTTAGGGAATTTTTATTTTATGTAGTACATATTTTATAAACATAATTTGTATTTAAATTGTAATATTTCAAACTTTAAACAAATATTGGGTTTAGACTCTTGTTATTTTTAATACTTTATTTATTTTTATTTTTAATATTTTATTGGCCCACGGGCCTGCCCTATCCATATTTGTCAAGCCTTACAAATCGGCAGACTTATTCAGGGCGGGCTAAAATGCCCTTTTCTTAAATGTGCTCCAAAAATCGTAGCCCAACCCTATCAAATCAAGGATTAGGTCAGGCCGACCCAACAGGCCTAGCCCATATTGACGGCTCTATTGTTGATGCATAACTCAAATCATATTGTCTAAGGGCACGTTTTTTAGGCATGGTCTATTATTTTGTAGCCAAAAGGTTTGATCAAAAGTAAAGCCTCAAAAGTGTGCCCTTAAATATTTTTTGCAACGTTTCTGAAGTGTGGTCTAAAATAAGTGTTGCCGTAGGCCAAATTTGTTGTAGTGTTGGTTTATATATAGTTATGAATCAGATACATAACTCATGTATGATTTGCTATGTATCGGGTGAAGGAGCAATATATCCACAAGTTCTGAATTTTTTTGAATTATTGTAATTTGAAAAACTTTTATAATATGATGTAATTAGTGCTCAAATTGATGGGGTTTCTGTACTTCATACTAAATATATATATATAAATAGACAACAAACTTAAACCCAATATTCTATAGGGAAATTTTCACCTATAGCCGCTCAAAAATAATTTAATTGTGCTCTATAGCTATAGTTTGTTGATTACGATTCGTAGCTACATGTTAGAGGGATGAGAGAGGCGAACGAGATTGAGAGAGGGAGGAGAGAGGTGAGAGAGAGAAGGCAGAGAGTGGATAGAGGTGAGCGAGTTTGGAAGAGGGAGGAGAGAGGCGAGCGAGAATGGGCAAAGAGTGGAGAGAGGCGAGCGAGATTGGAAGAGGGAGGAGAGAGGCGAGCGAGAGAGGGCATAGAGTGGAGAGAGGCGAACTGTATATGTATATCTGTCAGATAATTGTATATATATAACTGGTATACATATGTATTTGTATATTTGGCGAGGGAGATTGGGAGAGGGAGGAGAGAGACGAGCAAAATATTTCTTTAATAAAAAGAATGCACAAATCCTTAACATATATCAGAAAAAGGCAATAAAGTAAAATCCTAACAAAGTAAAATTCTTAAAAAATAAAGAACATTCTTTCCCATAAAAATGCACAAATTCCTAACAAATCTATGTAAAAGACATCAAAGTAAAATCCTAAAAAAACATATTTTGAAAATCCAAAATCGAAAAGAAAAAAGAAGTTCCTTCAATAACCACACTACAATCAACAGTACCACCTAAATCGGGCATAAAAGTTATTCTTTAAAACTTTTATTCAAACAAAAATAAAACTATTTGTACCAAGCTTTCTACTCAGATTTGTAATAGTTCAGAAGTATATTTGTCATTTTTTCGTCTTAGAAGTTTCAGCAAAAAGAATTTGCAAAATTTTTTAATCTCAAAATAAGTGTTATACTAAAAATTAAAGACAAAAATTGTATATTTTTCCAATTATACTCTTATGTAAAGATAATTTTTTGTTTAATCTCAATCATCTAGAAATATCTAATAAATAGAAATAACTTAGTAAACTATCTTCTAATTATTTATTTTCTTAGTTAGCACGAAATAAGTTTAAACGACACTTATTTTGAGAAGAGTAACAAAAAATGAAATGAAATTGAGATGTGGGCAGGAATTTTTCCAATTCGATCTTGGATTGAATTAAAACATTTCCTACATTATAAATAGTCTTTAAACATGTTTTTGAAGGGGAATTCAATTTGAGGCAAAGAACGCTTAGGAGTGAGTGAATTTTAGTACTTATTATGTTTTCACATACTTTATGCGTAGCTAATTTTCTATTTAAGATTTTGATGAAACCTTTTGTTGGATGAGTTGTTATGACGTTTTTATATAATTGACCCCTTAAAGTGGAGGGGGTAAATAAGACATCGAGAATTGAACTCACACATATCATGTTTAAAACTTACTAGTATAACTTATAGTGCTGATTTGAGCATCTATAACCTATAGCTAAATCATTACTATTTTTTTTCCCACCTATTGTCTTTCTCACACTAAAATAAAATTGTAGGTATCATTAAGAGTTCATCAGTCCCATATCGATGGAATACAAGAGGCAGAGAATTGAGAGGGAGGATAAAACACGAAGTCCGTGAGCCAAGTAAATCATACCTTTCTCGGCCTTTTGGCTAAGATCAAGTGTAGTATCTGTTCTTATCAGTTTAATATCTGATATGTAGGTCATTGACTCATACGATATTAACTTAATTTTTTAAGGGGGAAGGTCCATTAGAGTAGCTTGCTACTTGGGCCTTCATACGTCGTTTAGGTGTTGCACTATAGCCTTGGCCTGGCGCACCCCACCAAATCTAGTTTAAATGTTTGAGCTTGGCTTAATCTTAGGAATCTATTTTCCCTATACCAATGTTATTTATTCTTTACTCCAAAACCAGGGTTGCTTTTGCAAAAAAATAAATAATCTAAAGTAAATGTCAGTAGGAATTCAAGACAAGAAATGGTTATTGTTTTTAACTATACCCTTAAAAAACTAATTCTTCTTAATAATGTTCAATTTTGAAGAAACATCTAATTACTCAACTATTATACCTTCAATATATTTAGAGAGTTAACCTTTTTGAAAAGGTAGAACCTCTTTATTGAGTAAATTGATTTTGGAATTCTATCAATTGATAGGGGTAAAATGATAAACTCACGATGTCAATTTTTATTTTCATTATAGGTGTATTAAGTAAAAAATGGACAAGTAAATAGAGACAGTGGGAGTAATATGGATAGCTTAGTAAATTATGCCTTCTATTTATTATTTTCCTTTATGAACGTGAAATGAGATAAAACGACACTTATTTTGAGACAGAAGGGAGTAGTACATTTTCCGTTTGTTACTACATGTAGGAACAAAGTTGTAACAATAGAGAAAATCAACAAATTGCTTGAGATTTTGAGTCGGATGAATCCTCTTACCCCTACCTAGCACCCCCTTGATCAATAGACCCGCTAAAGCCCGATAAATAACAATTAAGGTGAAGCAACGTCAAGATAACATAACGACAAATCTCTTCTTGTCAAGTACATACATAGAGATGTCCTAAGACTCTAGCTATACTAGTGTTGTGTTGATCCTTTAAAATCATGAAGTGTTCCCATACATGCTTGAGATTATCTATGATTATAAGCGTTGATAATAAATCATGTTAAAGGTTACATTGTATAATAAACTATTTTGTAGGTAGCTTTTGTATACTATATAGTGTACTTAATTGTTCATAAGTAAACTAATATATATTTTTCCAAAGTGTCTTTCTCACTATAATATACAAGTGCGTGGCACTTCAGGCTCATTTGTCCCGTATCGATATAAAACGAAAAGTAGAGAGTTGAGAGGGAGGATAAAGCACCAAGTCCATAGGTTAAGAAAAGCATACCTTTCTCGGCCTTTTTGGCTAAGATCAAGTGTAGTATCTGTTCTTATCAGTTTAATAACTGATATGTGGGTCATCGACTCACACGATATTAACTTAATTTTTTAAGGGGGAAGGTCCATTAAAGTAGCTTGCTACTTGGACTTTCATGCGTCGCTTGGGCGTTGCACTAAAGCCTAGGCCTGGCACACCCCACCAATTCAAGTTCAAATGTTTTCCTTTCGACCATAGCCTTAACACCATGAAGTTATATTTAGTTACATTTTAGATGTTAGGTATGAAAGAAAATGAAATATATAGGAGATTGAGTCTTGATTCGATTGTTATCTTAACCTATTATAACCTGCTCAAATTTAATCCAACCCACAACCCCGGAGATTGGTGAGATGTTGATGCCTATATATAGGGGCTTTGGGGAGTAGTAGGGACATTTAGGACAGTTGACTGCATCAATAAAGCAGTTAGAGAGGTGTTAGGGGTCTCGAGA